CCGTCTCGTGTCTTCCCAGAATCCATCTACCGCCGCGGAGCCAGAAGATGGAGGAAGCTGTACCGCGCCAACGGCCATCTCTTCCAAGCCAAGCGCTTTAACAGGGTGAGCGCTGCGGCCTGGGGCTGCGGGCTCGGGGGCTGCAGATGCCGAGTGCTGCCTGCTGGGTGCCGAGTGCTGCGTGCTGAGCGCTATGTGCTGGGTACTGAGTACTGTGTGCTGCGTGCCGTGGGCCACTTTAAAAGTGGAGAGAGGGAGGTGCCTCCCCCCACGAGCGGGCTGGGCTGTGTTCAGCACCCAGCAGAGAGTCCGTCACGAATGAGCCTTTGCACGGCTTCCTGAGCCTGTAAGGTCCCCGTTTGGGTGTCTTCCCGGTGGCCGCGTGACAAATGCAGCCTGGGCCTCGGAGCCCCTGCCGTCCTGGTTATGTAACCCTTGGTCAGGGCACCGTGGCTCCTTGGTCCCCCTGCTCGTGTCCAGTGGCGCGACAGTGGGTGTGACAGCTAACGCCAGGACACGTCCAGTGCTGCAAATAGTGTTTCCCGTTGGCTGGAAGGGTCGACCGTGAACCCCGGAAGCCCCACGCAGCTCCCCAGTCTGCCACCACCCGGCCCCACCCCCTGGCCCATGGTGAAGGGCACGTTAGTTCACTTTCCATCATTTCTCTTCACGATGCTTTTATACTCTCCAGAAATGACGTGGTTCACATAATTGTCCATGTCACGGTGGAAGGGGAGGTGCCTTGGTGGCCAAGGACCGTTAGTGTCCCGGGTTGCTAGAACCTAGCGCCACAGACTAGAATTTCTGAAAACAGAAATTCATTCTCTCGGGGTCCAGAGCCCGGAAGTCCAAAACCAAGGTGGGGGCAGGGCCGCCCGAGGGCCCCAAGGGAGGGTCCTCCCTGCCTCGCTAGCTGCTGGCCTTGCCGGTGCTCCTTGGCGTGCTGGGCGTGTAGCTGCCACCGCCCCCCACTCCCCCCTCTCTGTCTGCCCCTAGAGGTCACTGGTCACCGGGTCAGGGCCCACGTGGCCCAGTACGACATCAGCGTGACAGCTCACTGCACCTACGAAAGTAGTTTCCGCCTAAGGTCACATTCCGAGGTTCTGGGTGGACACGAGTTTGGGGGACGCCCCTGAGCCCAGCACGGCACCCGCGTGCTCGCTCACCTGCCCGGCCCGCCCTCCCCTACGTCCTCAGAGCTCGAAGTCACCCTCGCTTTCTGTCTGGGCTTGACTGTCCATCTCTTCAGGGTACCAGAGCGGACTCTGGAGCCCTGCCCCAACGCTGGCCTTCGGTGAATTGCATCTCCCGCATTACCGGCTGTCCCTCCGGTCCGAGGTGAAGCCCACCTACCCCATGAGGCAAGCCAGGGCCACAGCACGGAGGGGCCTGGCCTTTCCTGCCCTGCCGGTTTTAGGGGCAAAAGTCCTTCCCTGACCACAGGGTACAGACTCTGCCACTGCCCCTCCCCCCGCCCACCCCTCCTCAAAATCGCTGGGCAGTGGGTTTTCCTCCCTAGGGAGAAGCCCGTCCCCACCCTGGGGAGAAGCTGGCTTCTCGGTGTCGTCGGCCGTTAGCCGGCCACACCTCAGGCCCGCAGTGTAGGGCTTGGTCCTTTCCTTAGCTGAGCTCGGTGCAGGCTGCTGACACACGTGGATCCTTTTTGTTTTTCTCCTGGAGTAATTTGAGACTTTTTCAACAGAAAGAAAGTTGTTAAAAATTGCGAAGGAGGACTAAAACATGCAAATGAGTTATGGCTAGGAAGATTCTAGCTGGGAAATGCGGGCGCACGTGGACGTGGGACATGCCGCGTGACGGCAGGTGACTTTGACCCCGTGAGCCCCGTGTGGTCGGGGTTCTGCACGTTCACGGTCACGCACTCGGCCGCACTCAGCAGTCAGGGTCACCAGCGTGCGTTTCAGGTCGTCGAGACCACGAAGAACCAAGAGTGACCATTTAAAAACTTTAAAAATACTGGAAAAAGTTCCAAGGTAACTAACTATACGATGGCAGCTCAAAAACGTGCCAAGTCAGAATGCCAGACAGGGGCCTTTTCTTCGTGGGGCTCATTCGGGTGAGCCGTTGGCGCAAGGGTCAGGCCGGGGGCCTCGCCACGCTGCCCTCGGCCTGGGCCACTCCGCCCGGCGGGACCCGGGGCTGCTGCTCACAGGCGCGGCCGGGCGGGAGCTGCAATCGCCCTCCCAGTCCTCCGTGGCCCCCCCAGCCTTGGGATGGGCCCACGTGGCGGCTGCTAAACCCAGGCTGGTTCCTGGGTGTGACAAGGTGACCGGGCCACCTCTCGCCCCGGCTCCGCGTCATCCTTTGGGAACATCAGTGGAGGTGCACGCGTGCCTGGGCTCCGCCGGCTCCTGGTAGAGCCGGGGTACGGCGGCCCGGCTGACGGCCGCGTCTCGTCCGCAGAGAGCGTACTGCGGCCAGTGCAGCGAGAGGATATGGGGGCTCGCGCGGCAGGGCTACAGGTGCGTCCACTGCCAGCTGCTGGTCCATAAACGCTGCCACGTCCTCGTCCCGCTGACCTGCAGAAGGCATATGGTGAGTGCGTGCGCGGGGGAGCAGCCTCAAGCCCACGTCCACACTGACCCTGATGGCTCGGTCCCCCGTCCCTGCCACTGACCAGACGGGAGGAGGGACCCTGGTGGGCTACAGAGTGGGGGCCCAGAGCGTGGTTGGCGGTCTGGGACAGGGCCTGCCCCAGTACACTCGGGGGGCCCAGTGCCGTCTGTGGCTCAGGGCTGGGCTGGGCGGGGGGTTGGGGGGTTCACCGTGGCCCGTCCTGCCTGGTCGTGAAGCAGCTCGTGGGAGCTGGGGAGGCAGAAGCGCAGGGCCCGGCCATGTGCTGCACCCTTGTCACCGGGCTGCGCCAGGGACGCGACGTGTCGGCCCTTCGGGGCATCGCTGACGGGCTGTTCCGCACCAGCACCCAGGCCTCCACCCAGGCACGCCACCGCCTGGCCGCACGAGCGAGCCTGGATGGGCACATGCGGCACGGTGGCTCACCTGGGTCTCGCTGCAGAGTGAGCGGGAAAGACGCCGATGCCGTCACCCAGTGCTGCTGGAGCTTGGGACCATGGGGTCCCCACACAGGCTGGGGTGGGGGGATTGGCGCATCTTTCTAGGGGTCCCTATCACTGGCTGCCAAAGACCGGAAAGGCACACAGACCCTCGGGCCCCCCAGGTCCATGCTAGCCTAGGAAAGAGACCAGCCAGGAAGGCTGTCACCAGGGCTGAGGGACACTCACGCGGGAGCCTGGCTGTCCGCAGTGGGGAGCTGCCTCGATTATGACATCAGTGCATGGAACCCCACGAGACGGGGGGTGGGGGTCCGCGCTGGGCAGCCGACAGGCTCCGATGCGGTGGCGGGCAGCCGGGGGACGTTGCCAAGCACGATATAAAAACAGCCCTTTTCTAAAGTACCTGCCGGGGAGGCCCCGGCCTGCGGGCTGAGTGGGCAGCTCTGCCTGCCCCCGCAGGTCGCGTCACGTGGGAGCCCAGCAGTTGGCGTTTGCGTCATGTGTATCAGGACGTGTGTTGCGACGTGTCGTGACAGGTGATTTAAAAAGCCGGCGGTGTCTACGAAGCTACGTCGTGACGTCTGTGCAGTCACTTAGTAACGCCCCGTCTCTCTGCAGGATTCTGTCATGCCTTCCCAAGAACCTGCAGTAGGTGACAAGGACGACGACGTGGACCTTCCTTCCGAGGAGACCGGTGGAAGTAAGCCTGCTCCCGTCCCCTCGCGACCACCAGCCCTCTCTGCACCCCGCCTGCACGTCAGCGAGCCCGGCCGCCTCGCAGCGAGGCTGGGACACGCTCTGCAGGCCCCTCATCCCGGGCAGAGCTGGGTGGGGCGGGCGGCCTTCCCGGGGCCCGGTCTCCGCGAGCTGCTGTCCCGGGTGTCAGGGGCGGGGTCTTCCCTCTGCACCGGCTCTGGGAGCGGCGCTCAGTGTACCCCCTGCAAATCGGCTGTGCAAAGGGCGCCTGCTGCGTGGTTCTTGGAGTTTCGTGGGATTTTTTTTTTT